TCTCTCTCTCTCTCTCTCTCTCTCTCTCTCTCTCTCTCTCTCTCACACACACACACACACACACACACACACACACACACACACACACAAAGGGGATTCGAAATCCCCCAACAGGTGAGTGCGCTGGGGGGCCGCCACCCGGGTGCCCTGCCCGGCCAGGCCGCCCGGGACCTCCCCCGGGTCCCTGCCGGTCACCTGGGCGGCCTGGATCCCCACTCAGGAAAAAACAAACTAAAAAAAAAAGAAAAGTGGGGAGTGCAAAGCAACGGCGCGCACAAATGGAATTTCCCTCCACCTTAGGGGTCCGCAGGGGAAGTCGGTTGGGAATTTTTTAAGCCCCGCGAAGTCCTGGTTTTGAAAAAAAAAAAACAATTCCTCACATTATTCCTCACAGGGAATGCGGGGAAGCAAAAAACAAAAGCTGAAATTTGCACCCCTGGGAACCCCCTCACCCCTGGGGGTATGGGCATTGGGGGTCGATCGATAACCCCAACAGGTGAGTGCGCTGGGGGGGCCCGGCCCCCACCCGGGTGCCCTGCCCGGCCAGGCCGCCCGGGACCTCCCCTGGGTCCCTGCCGGTCACCTGGGCGGCCTGGATCCCCACTCAGGAAAAAACAAACTAAAAAAAAAAGAAAAGTGGGGAGTGCACAGCAACGGCGCGCACAAATGGAATTTCCCTCCACCTTAGGGGTCTGCAGGGGAAGTCGGTTGGGAATTTTTTAAGCCCCGCGAAGTCCTGGTTTTGAAAAAAAAAAAAACAATTACTCACATTATTCCGCACAGGGAATGCGGGGAAGCAAAAAACAAAAGCTGAAATTTGCACCCCTGGGAACCCCCTCACCCCTGGGGGCATTGGGGGTCGATCGATAACCCTGGCTCACACCCTGGGGATCCCTATGTGACAACACTGGGTTTAACACCGTGGAGCAACACGGCCGGCTGGATACAGAGACCATTTTGTTGATAATTAAGAAACGGAAAACCGTTTGTTAAGATCGATTGATGGTAGAATAAAGGGACCGTAATTGAAAGGGATGCAGATGTAGGTTTATGTACTGCCTCTAAACAACACCCTACATCAAGATCGACTCCTCGCACCAAACCCCACCTTCTGGTGGTTTGGTTTATGCCAACTTTGTGGTTTGGTTTGAAGACTGTACCTGCTTAGTGGTTTGGTTTGAGCACCTCTGGGAACGTGGGGTTGCCTGAGGGGCGCTATTTACTCGCCACAGAGATTGTCGAGTAAGTGTCAGAGCGGATTAGATCTATGCTTCTGCTTAATGCTTCTGCTAATGCTTCAAGGGCCTCCCTAGACCATGTCAATGTCGTTTTAGGGAAATGTGACGAGCGCAAGTGGTGAAAATCATTGCCAATGTCAGACATTGGGGTTGAGGTCCTAGACATTGACATAGATCAGATGCCAAATGGGAGGCTGATGAGCCGAGGGGAGGAGAAACTGGCTGTTGTTTGTGGGAATAATGAGCAGTCGATAATCTTCAGGAAAGATGTGGACTGCAGTATCTGCCTCAGAAAACGGACTGAACTCTCGTGTCGTTCAATGTTTACTCCAGTGCAGACATTCATGCATGTCTGTAGCCTTCCTTGAATTCAACTGTGCACAGACACACGCACACACATTGCCTTCCTTCCTCGTCTCCCTCCTCTCCCTCCTCCTGTGCACTACTAGTAAATGCATATGAATGACCATCACTAAGAGAGCATACAATGTTTACTCCAGTGCAGACATTCATCCATGTCTGTAGCCTTCCTTGAAGACAACTGTGAACAGAGACACACACACATTGCCTTCCTCCCTCCTCTCCCTCCTCGTGTGTACTGCTAGTATATGCACATGAATGAACATCACTAAGAGAACATACAAAATATAAGCTGAAGATCTGAGGAAAAGTGTCCTTTCATAGTGTGCAAGCGGGATGTTATGGCACACGGGTATGTGGGCAGCTCGCAGGCAACCACAATCAACATGGTGAGCCTCGTGCACGAGAGGCACAGTAAAAGGAGAGTTGCAAGAACAAATAAAAGGGTTACCCAAAAAAGCGAAAGTGAACACAGTGCAATCAGACTCGTCTTCTTCTCACTCAGCATGCATGAAAACAGATGGCAATCACACTGGCGACGAGCGCCCACACAAAGCTCAGAGATATCGCGGCCAAGAACACAGTTCAGGTTCCACTTGCTTCGAATGGTTATGGCGCCTTCCACTCTGTATCCTCAGCGCTGTTCACACGCACGCTACTCTGGATCTCCCTGGATGTCCCACACACGCTCACAATTCACTGCTCACTCACTCACATACACGCTGTAGACTACCTCTAACCTATAGTAGCTATGGCTGCGCTCTTCCTCTAACACTAACTAGCGGCTATGGCCGCTTCGTCTCCCTCTCAGCCCACTTCTTCCTCGGGCACCTGCAGACCTTCTTGCACAAGTCGCTCAGGCAGCGCTTCCGCATGGCTCACAGTCTGAATGAGTGAATAACTGGACGCTGCCTCTCGATTTATAGTTCAGTTGGTCGCTGGTCTGCCCCTTTCCTTTGGGCCTAGGATGCACACAGTCCCACATGGTACTTGCTGACTGGACAAAGTGCGACTGGGACTGGTACCGCTGACTAGACCTGGTAAGTCTGCCCACTTGCCCACTTGCCCACTGCTTCTGAGACTCTCGAAGGGGCAGTCCTAGAAGACTCTAGACCTTCCTGCTTGCCCTTTCGGTACTGTAGCAGCTACGACTAAGGTTGACCCTTCAGACCTACAGCAGCTACGACCAGACATAAGCTACGACTCCTACCCTACAGGTAAGCAGCTCGAACTTACTCAACCCTTGTATCTACAACAGCCTTAGACAGACAACTGTAGGGGCAGGTCAAACATTAATGGGGCAAAGTGTACTGTACAGGGGTTCAGGGCAGGTCTAGGGATCGAGCCCTGGGATCTGCATCTGCTACTGCAAAGGTGAAAACCGTTTCAACAGTTAAGAAAGGGATTTATACGCTTCTGTTATGCTCTGTGTTGCTTGCTATAGAGGTAAAACTGTTTCATTGTTGGATTGTCTCAGCTCCAAGTGTTTTTTTTTTATAATTATTTTTTAATATATTTTATTTTATGGCGAGGGCTTTGACACATCATCATCAAACTTAACAGCGCTATGTAATTCAGAATTACAGTTCAGGGAATTTCAACTTAGGTCTGCTTCCACCCATATTCCTCCTCAATGTCGCCTACAAAATCTTGGCCAAACTCCTAGCCACAAGAATCAACCACATCACTGGTAACTGCTTTCATCTAGACCAAACAGGATTCATTCCAGGCAGGCTCATACTAGACAACGTTATGACCCTCTGTGAGTCCACCAGGCTAATCAATCAGAAACGAATAACAACAGCAATACTCTTCTTCGACTTTGAGAAAGTCTAAGGCCAAGCCAACTGGAACTTCCTACAGACCTGCATGGAGAAAATGGGAGCAGGCCCGAACTTTCGTAAATGGGTAAGAATCCTCTACAAAGATGCACAGGGCATAGTCCAGGTAAACGGCTTCCTCTCCAAGATCGGTAAGACAGGGAGACCCACTTGCAGCCTCCATTTTCCTCTTTGTTATGGAAGCAATCACAGCTTTCCTCAGAAAGGACAAATCCATAGAAAGATTAGATAGTATCAAGGATGATAGAGGCCACACAGTCCACCTTCCATCTACCCTACTCTTCGCGGATGACCTCACGGTCCTTATAAGAGCATCAAATTCCTCATTGCAAGCCCTCACAAGAGCTATGCAAGCCTTTCAATTAGCATCAGAAATGGAAGTGAATTGGACAAAGACTGTCAGTTGGTGGCTAGCGGACTCACCCCCTCCCATAGAACTATCCCCAGAAGGGTTACAATGGACAGACCCAACCACACCAATCCGCTTCCTAGGCATAAACCTCTGCACGAAAGGGTGCCACCCCTCGTCGGCCGCATCCCTAATGTCGTCACTGAGCAACAAAATGCACAGCTGGCAAGGAGTTCACACCTCACTTCTCGGAAGAGCCTTGGCCCTGAATAACTCAATCTTATCAATGATGTGGTACTCTACATCGATATTGTTCCCCACCTTAGACTTCCAAAAACAAATCCGTCACAGGGCAGTGGCCTACCTATGGACAGGCAACCCGGATAAACAACATTTCATTCACAAGGTCGCATGGCAAATCGTCACGCAAAGGCGTATGGCAAGTGCAACATCTCTGGAACGAACCAATAAACAACTGGAAGACGGCAAAGGATCTGCGGAACTTACTAAAAGGGTGCCACGATTTGCAGGCCAACATCACTCACATTATCGAAAGCATACCTCTAGAATGGTGCCAGTTATTGAAGACTAATCAAAAGTGGATGTGGGGAGATTGGGCATCGAACAGAGAACAAATACAACCCACAGAAATACGGCAACCAGGATACTCTGCTCCATCTATCCCCTGCAGGAACCAGGAACCCCAGCTAGTTTCATCAGCAAAGAACCAAGGGCAGAAGGGGCCTACAGAAACAGCAACCTACAGAATAAGCACTGGATACTCTGCTCCATCTATCCCCTGCAGGAACCAGGAAACCCAGCTAGTTTCATCAGCAAAGAACCAAGGGCAGAAGGGGCCTTCATTTCAGCCAATCTCAGAAGAATCCGGGTCATAGAAGGGGACAGAAACAGAGTCTACCGACCCGCAACAGAAATAAAACACCTTGAAATAGATCCAGCTGAAAGGTCCTGGACTAGAACCAGCCCGCATTCCACAGAGAGCGCCGCTATGCACTCACTGACTACACACCCAAGTTAGGCTACAAGCTCCACAACAAACCCTCCTCCATACACAAAATCATACAAAAAAGATGGGAAAAGGAGGAAAATACCATCACAGTGGTCAACATCAACCCATCATGGACCTCTATCTTTGGCACAAGACCACCTAAACTAGCTAGTCTGCTATGGCTCATAACATTTCGTGCAGTATCCGCTCTGGCTATCGCAAAGAAGAAAGAAAGATAATGACACTGAGCAAACATCGTGGTGCAGGGTGTGCAACACCCAACTCGAAGAATCACTCAATCATTGCTTCATAGATTGCCCAAAGACAAAGCAACTCTGGCACGATATAGATTTAACCTGGAACTAACACACCAATAAAACCATCGCGATTAACCCTGACACCCTATTCCTAGAGGTAGATCAAAACCCACCCCTCAAAGGTTTTGAGCGTCTTTTCTTCTCAGTGTTTTCACTCATAAAAAAATCGACCCTCTGGGCTATTTGGAAAAGGAGATGCACAGCAACCTTCGAGATTACTAATAGTACCCCTGAAACCCCCCTCATAGCCATTAAACAGACGGTTGAAACCGAAATACAAGCACAATGGAACAGAGCATACACAAAATTCCAATCCCTCCAAATTCCAATCCGTACAAGAGATCATTAATAAATTCATCTCCCTGATTCTAGGCAACGGGAAACTAGGAACAGTTGAAAGAGAAAGACTGCGCTTACAAGACTGGTTAGTTATGCCCACATCAAATACTCAAAATCCCACCACTTCAACACAACCCACAGTAACAAACAACCTATCCCCCATCGCACTAAATGGAACAGATACCCTATGAACTTTTCTATCAACCCACCCTAATCACCTACCACCGCACCCCCCCCTTCCCCAACCACAGCCCATCATCAAACATCGCCTGAACGCACCCTCGTCAATCGAAATACCCTCTCATCCTCCAGGTCTCACGCCCACACCAGAAACCCGGCACAGCCACGTCATTCACACCACACTAATCCTAACACTGATTACCGATCACACTACTCCCCATCAAGATACACGGTCCAAGCTCCCGATAATAGTTCGGTCAACGGGTCATCTGCCTCCCAGATCTCTAGGGTTTAGAGTTTTTTGCTTCAGATGCTACTCTGAAGGTTACAGTCAGACCCTCACACCCTCCGCACGGGTAAAGCAGAGTCTTGCCATAGGCTCAATTGACAGAGAGGAGCAGTCAGCAAAAAGACCGGATAGTTCCAGCAAAGTCAAGGAGCTATCACTCATAGCTTCTGAGGAACAAACAGCCTCGAATAGGCTAACTTAAGCAGGGGTGAAAATCGATACATCCTCCTTCAAGGAAGTAATCAATGCCGTCTTCTGGGCCTCCACGCCATAAGGGGGAGGAGCGTGAGTGAGTAACATTTGTACTAGCTTGGACTTGCCGGGGGAATAGGAACCGGACTGATGCTCCCCAGAATGGAAAAGGAGCCAGAAGTTCCAGAACCATAAAAAAAAAAAAAAAAAAAAAGAAGCTTAGGTCTGCTTCCAATGGGGTTTGAAGTTTGAACTCAGGTCTGTATTTCAACAGTTCAGGGTTGAACCCACTGAGCTAGGTTGTCTGCAATAGGACTAAAGCTGATTTGATTTTGGATCTACTCATCTGGGTAGAATAGGGCCTGTTGTGGTGAAAATTCAAAACACACATATTGCCTATCTAGTATCTACACCTTTTTTTCATTTCATGGATGGTTTGTGATGATCTGTGGATGCAACGAGAGAGAGTTTTTTTTTTTTTTTTTTCAAAACACACACACACACACAGACATGCACAGACACACGCAGACAGGCACACACACACACACACACACACACACGTGGCTATGGCATTTATGGGTAGGCGACTGCAATTCCAGCCTGCTCTGCAAAACCACATGCCAGGCAGGGATCCGAATATTTGGGCATATATATTATAACGTCCAGGTAATTTCAGTGCTCTTACCTTTGCAGATAATTCATGGACTCTATGGGACAATGGCGGTAGGGTGCACACAGTGGGAAATATTAACTCTTTCTATCACCAAATGCTGGAGGATCATTCAGTCTGGCTCTTCCATCAGGAACATTATGTCGATGAGCACTTGCACGCACTGCACCCCCTGGGGAGCAATCTGGCTGATTCTACCACAAACAGTGAAAGGACCTCTCCAGAGGATGGTGGCTGTGCCCTCCCGTTGTGTCGTTGAACAGGTGCAGTTCGGTTGGCATGTACACGGCATAGCCTCTTCTCCGAACACCATGAAGGGATGGTCACTGCTAGTCTCTCACACGAAAACTGTGATCCCCTGTCCTGTGCTAATCCCCCTCACCCCATGATTACTTGCCCAGCATGCTGTTGTGGCCTTGATCTGCCATGCTTAGATAACTGTGCACGTCAGCCTTCCATACTAATGCCATGTCAGCAACATGCCATGTCTCGTCAATGCTTCCAGGAAGCTGTCATAGAAAGTATGTGTCTTTACTGCGTGGAGTCGCCGTGGACTATCCCCGGTGCCATCACCCTCCACATCCTCTCCTAGTATGTCCCACATCCTCTCCACATCGTTTCCTAGTATGTCCCACATCTTGCCGTTTTTGTTGATTATACACGGTCTAATTCTTTGCCCTGCATCAGAACATGGGCTGTTTGGATGTTTACGGGTGGCCACGGGTTCTCTTTTGGGGGAATGTATGTGTTTCGTTGGCCGGCGTGGAAGGCTTTACCAGTTTTTTTGGACCCTTAGCAGGGGGGATTGTTGCGTTCTTGCTGGAGGAGTCGTCTGTCTTAGGTAAGTTGTCTCTTATCTTCGTCCTCCTCAATGGTAGTGATGCGAGCGTGTAGCTGGAGACGAATGTCGGGAATGCCAATGCTGTTATATTTGTTTGTTTTTGATAAACGAGTTTTTGGTTTTGTGGGCCGATGCGGAAGGCCCTCCAAATTTTTTTGGACCTTTGAGGGGGTCGGGTCGGTGCCTTCTTGCTGGAGTAGTCTTCTGTCTTAGGTAAGTTACCTTCTGTTCTCCATCCCCTTATGGTTTGAAATATATATGTATACATTATACATATGTATATGTGCAAGTGTGCTGCTTTGGTGGCAGACGAGTGTGTGGTCACTTGGCGCTGAACCACACAAACGTGGCCAACCTTGCATTTTCTATTATATTGCCTATCTATGTTTTTTTGTTATGGATGGCTTGTGATGATTTGTGAAGGGAATGAGAGAGAGAATCTGGGGTCTCTTAAAACAACACACACACACACACACACACACAC